GTTCTACTGAAGTCACATCATTATGTCAGTAAATTAGGTCAGATTTTTAGGTTTAAATAGAATTACTCAACAAAGTCATATTGTTCGGAGCAAAGCGAGACAACTTTCCATCGAATTTGAACAGATATTAGTCATTGGGCATGCAAAACAAATGACCGTTACAGTATTTGATGATTCAATACGAAAAACATTATAATTGAGGGGACAATGTGAGACAGGAATCATAGTTGAGGGGTCAAAATATAATTTTATCAAATATTTATTTCTATGATGCGGAAACAAAAATGAATGTTTATGGTGATCAACAAGTAATTGCAAGGAAAAAAAAGTGAATCAGCTACACACACTCTCTCTCTCTCTCTCACACACACACACATATAATATATATATATATGTATGTATAATTTGTTCAAAGTTCAAATTTACCTGCAAAAATCTATGCCAATCCTCAACAGCCTCTTTGAGCATGCTAATCCCAACAACAAACAGCAGGGGAGCAATCAAGCTAACTGGAGAAAAAGGAGCCAAAGATGTGACAGACAACACCGCAGCCAAGAGAAAATAAAAGTTTGCAACTCTTCGAAATTGCTCAAAAAGTGCTCTGGGAAGGAAAGTCACAACATTATACTTGGTTGTGGATATGTAATTGTTGGGGTATTTGTGTGGCTTGATTTTGTGAAGCTGAGGTTCATTGCAGAAAACCACCCGGGAAAATCCTGACCGTCCAAAAAGATCAAGATCACCTGTACTGGGTCGCATGCATGAAAATGTATATAGTTTGCTCCATTTGATCTTCCTTTTTGGCCTCCTTGATGCCTCTGCCATTTTAAAGGGTACGTACACAAATCTAACAGTAGTTAATGAAGCTCTCTCATGAACCAGAAAGTATCAAACAGTTGGTAAAGTCTCTCTCATCAAAACTGAGAATTCAAAAAAAAAAAGTGTATACCATTTAAAAGGGTATGTAAATGAAGCTCTCATCAACTGGAAAACATCAAACAGTTGGTGGAGTCTCTCTCATGAAAACTGGAACTCAAAACCCATCTCATAAATAAGAAAAACCCAGCAAAATGAAGTGTAGATTATACTGCACAGGGTGTGTTTTTAGCAAAGAATAGTAAAGGGTATTTAAGAAAATCCAATCAAGAATCTTTGGTTTTGACGAGCACTCTCGAAATGAAAATTATTAAATTTTTCTATTCCTAAAAGTATCTTCCCTCTTGGGGGCATCTATTTTTATGTTCCTTAACCGTCTGGCTACAATAATAAAAGAGATACTTCCAATACTGAACTTTTTGGACTCTCTTGTATCTAGCTGGCTTGGCACAAACAACTTTTTTTTTTAATTTTTTGATGAACATGCACAGAGTCGCACATAAAAAACCCAACTTAACACGAGTTAAGTGCAACTGAATAGAGAGAGAGAGAGCTCTCTGAGACTCATTAAACCACAAAATTCAGGCAATTGCTGACTGGATAGGGGGTCCAATAACCATTAAGTACTCGCTCACCCCCGTTGTGCCGCTCAATGTGGGATAAGGTTTTTTGATGATCATACACAGAGTTATACATACAAGAAACCCAACTTACACGAGCTAAATGTAACTGAATAGAGGGAGAGAGAACTTTCTAAAACTCACTGAGCTACAACACCCAGGCAATTGCTGACTGGACGAGGGTGCAATGGCTATTAAGGATTCACTCACCCCGCTGCGTCGCTCATATGGGATAAGGTTTTTTTGATGAACAAACAATTTATTTGCAAACCAAGTGTCACCACTAGGCCCTGTGGAATTTAAACAACTTCGGATATAGACTATGAAAACAAAATCTGGTGATAGCTACGGCCTTTTTTATTTTTCTATTTTTTTGGGGGGAAGATGACGAAAAATAATGAGATTAGAACTCGAAATCACCTACGGACGAGAATGAGCAGCTACGGTTTGCCCACTCCCTCACCTCAGCCACTCCCTCACCTAAAGTATAGTATTTCCAAATCTCCATATCATTCCCTAAACTAATTAAGTGTCAAAACAACAACTTCGAGGTAACTTCATTGGGATAGAGAGAGTGTAGACCATACAATTAGAGACGTCCAAATTCAGTTTACCACTTTTATAAAAGAATACACAAGATACCCAAAAATTATGGTAACTAAACACAGTTAACATGTCTCTAGATTCGAGATCATCGTGCATTTAAATGCGAAGAGATGACTCAAAGTGGTAAAGTCAACTAGCCCATTATAATTATATTGGTGATTAATAGATCCCACTTTGACCAAAGATTTCATATCATAGAATAGAATAGAATCAACTTTGTGTGGTTTTCCATTCTCGATCAGCTAATCAATGATCATATTATGGTGAGTTTTTTTTTTTTTTTTTGATTTTATTTCTTTATTTACATTCACTTGCATAAAAAAAAAATTTAAACTTTCATTCTTTTGATGTATTAGTGTATGTGCAGAACATGTTTTTAGGAATAATTGTGTTTGTGAAGCATGCTTTTATTTAATAGTGTTTTTTGAAAATACTTTTTTACATTGAAAATAGTGGGTTTAATATATATATATATATATATATATATAGAGAGAGAGAGAGAGAGAGAGAGAGAGAGGATAATAGCCGGCAATGCAAATGCCAATTGGCCAAATTACACGAATTTGTGTTTTGGGTAAGAGCCATGAGCCAAGGCCATTAGGGGTGGTAATTGTGTCATTTCAAGTCGTAATTGTATTGTATCAAATATTAATTAATCCTAAGCTAACCAATAAAGTTGTAATTATTATGTTTTTAGGGTGGAGTTATTCACGTCCCTTAAATCTTTTATGTCACCTCGTTTAATTTTTTACCTCAAACTATTAAGCTCATCTTATCTATATTTATTAATTAAAAACTAAATTTATTCAATTTTATTTTAACCTAGTATATAGACAATGTTCAAAATTTCGTTTTGATGTATTATTTTGGTATAAAAATATTTTAAAAACAGAATAAAAATTAATAATTATTTTTAAAATTTTAGTTAAAATATAGCAAAATATCTTAAAACACGTCAAAATATTCTAAAGACATCGGCGAAAATCTATCAAAACACCTTGAAATAATATAGATCACATCATAACATTGAAATTTCGTTTTAATTACTATTTTTGCTTCAATTTCTTTGATATATATTTAGTAGTTTAATCGAATGGGTATAAATGAGATGAATTTAATAACTAATGAGGTGAGTATAGACAATTTTATTATTGGTCACTCCAAATGGATTTTTTTTTTTAAAAAAAATATTCAGCTTTTTAAAGAATACCCCCCCCCCCCCCAAAACTGTTTTGAGGAACTTATTTAACCCTATTTTTTTTTACGAAGCATTTTAAACCACAAACTTTTTGCCTAAAAAATTCAACTCCAAACCACAAGTTTTTGCCTAAAAAATTCAACTCCAAATAAGCCTTTATATAATAAAGTAATTTACAATTCAAATCTCAAAAGATAGATAAAATAATTTTTATTATTCGCGGTTGAGATCGATTTAAATTTTATTTTAAAGTTAATCCAACGGTTATTATTAATACCCTAAATTTAATAGAAAAAATAGGATTCTAAGGGTGTGTTTCGAATGATTTTTTAAAAGTACTTTTAGAAATTATTTCTCATAAATACTTAAAAAAAAATAGTGTTTGAAATCGCTCCACCACTACCACCGCCACCACTGCCATCGCCACCACCGTCGCCACCACCGCTACCTGCACCATCACTGTAGCCACCGTCGCCACCACCACCACCATGGTTGTCACTCGCCACTACCATCATCGCCACCACCTCTCCCACCACCCCTATCACCAGCACCACTGTCGCCACCACCACCACCGCTGTCGCTCCCACCCCCATCGCCACCACCATCACTACTGTCGCCGCCACTGAAGTTGCCATCCCCGTCGCCGCCGCCACCACCACCATCGTCGTTGTCGTCGCCACCACTACCATCGCCGCCGCCACTATGATCGTTGCCACCCACCACAACTATCACCGTCTCCTACCACCACCATTGCCGCCCACCACCTTTCACCCTCTACTGCAAACTAATGCTTAAATTCATTATCTCTTCTCTATGTTTGAGATATGATTTTAAATATGAATACAAATATGTTTATTGTCTACTATTTTTTATTACTTTGTGCCTTCAAGCACAGACAATAACTAGTTATACAATAAATTGGCTCACCGCTTATAGGTTTATAATTTTAAGTTGGTATGAATTTGAGATATTTATATTAGGCCTTAGATTAAGGGGCTCCTAGTCTTCCAATGCAGGTACAAAAGAATTGAAAGATAAAATTATAACAAAATATAGTAAATATGATAAGATTTCATATTCTTTGTAAGGAAAAATAGAACTTAAAATATTTTATATATTTTTTTGTAGATAAAATCTTATTCTATACTAGTCATGCCCCGCACAAAACACGTTTTTTAATATATAGTTGAGTTACTGTGGTTAAAAAATTAAAATTTATGTGAGTCACCATGGTTAAAAGTTAAAATTTTAAATTTAAAGGAGTTAATGTGGTTAATAGATTAAAAGTTAAATTCAAATGAACTACCGTCGTTAAAAAGTTAAAAATATAAACTGTCGGATCAAAATGATCTAGGCCATTATTATGCTTTTCTAATTGAGGAGCTTAAAAAGCCCAAGCCGGAGGCACTGTTTTATTAATATAGATTAAATGAGTTACAATGGTTAAAAATTAAATTTAAATGAGTTATCGTGGTTAAAATATTAAGATAGATATAAACCGTTTACTAGTAGTGCCCTGCGCATCACCTTTTTTTTAATGTATAGACCGAGTTATTGTGGTTAAAAAGTTAAAATTTTAAAAAATTATTGCGATTAAAAGTTAAAATCTAAATAAGTTACCGTAGTTAAAAGGTTAAAAGTTAAATTTAAATGAGTTATCATGGTTAAAAGATTAAAAGATATAAAATGTCAATTTAAATAAATTATTGTAGTTAAAATGTTAAAAGATATAAACCGTATACTAGTCATGCCCCACGCAAAGCA